CCTCCGAAAGTGCTGGGAATACAGGTGTGAACCACTACACCTGGCCACTTTAGACATTTTTCTAGATGAAAACTTGTTTGCGGCAGGCTGTCACTGTGAAAGTGCTCTAGAATGGTCCAGCTAACCAGATTCTAGCCCTTCCCGTGACTCACTGGGTGACTTTGGACAAATTTCCTCATCTAGGGCCCTCCTTTCTGTGCTAGCTTTTGAAAGGTAGCATGCAGAGAGGGCCACCTTTGGAGCAGCCAGAGGCCTGGAGGCCCAGTGCCACCTGGTCTGGCCCACACAGGAGATAAAGGCCATGCACTCAGGACAGATGAGGAAAGGAGAAGCCTTCCTAGAGGAAAGGATTAGATCAGGAGGGACTTTGATAAACCCAGTCCTTAAGACATCAAATCACGGCAGAACCCCATTTGGCTTATATGATATTGGAAGTCAGGAATGAGACACATGATTGATTCTGGAACCTCTGTGACATCTCCTGTTTATTCACCTGGCTAATTCTCTGTGCTGAATGGCCGTCAAGTCTTCAATCACTTAACAAATAGGTATTAAGCTCATATTGTGGTTGCAAAGGTGAGCCAGGCAGGTGAGGCACCAGCGCTCACAGAGCCCGCTCTCCAGGCTCAGGAACCCCAAGGACAGATGGGTACCTATCGGTGCCAGGCAGCAGCACATGGCATCTAGGAGCAGGGCTTTCCTCAGTCCCTGGCTGGGAGGGCAGAAGCTGCAAGGGGAAGAGCGAGGAGTCCAGGCCTGCCTAACAGTGCGAGCCTGTGGGCTGATTGCACGGTTCTTAGCCCCAGAACATGTCCACGGCTGTGCCTGCCCTTCTTGGCCTTCTCCTCACTCAACCTTGGTTTGGCTTTGCTCACTGAGCTGGGGACGCCTGTTCTGCAGCAAACCTCCTACCCCTGGAACAGCAGCGCAGATGATCAGTAGCAGCCACTGGGTCGTTTGGGCAGGGAGGCATGGGTGTGGCATGCTGCCAGATGAGGAATTGCATCCCTCGAGCACGGCAGGGCTAATTAGCTGCTAAGGGGGCTTTGTCAGTGTTCACTGAGAATGTGGTCGTGACAGTCAGGTGGCCATTCCCACTTGGCCTAACTTGAGTGTGGAAGGCTCTCTGCTGTCAGCACTGGCTGCTTTTGGAGGTGGGTCCACTGCTGGGCACACGCTGGTATGGGCATTGGTGCTGTCTGTGCAGGTCGTAGCTGAGCCTGAAGGAAGGGGGACGGACTGACAGGGAGCTGAGTGGAGTGAGGCAGATGTGTGTACATAAACACACCTGTCGTGGGGAATATCAGATGGTAAGGAGCTAAGCAAGGTAACCAGAACAGCCGGGCACAGTGGCTCAGGCCTGTAATCTTAGCACTTTGGGAGGCAGAGGTGGGCAGATCATGAGGTCAGGAGATCAAGACCATCCTGGCCAACATGGTGAAACCCCATTTCTGCTAAAATACAAAAAATTAGCCCAGTGTGGTGGTGTGCACCTGTAGTCCCAGCTACTTGGGAGGCTGAGGCAGGGAACTGCTTGAACCCAGGAGGTGGAGGTTGCAGTGAGCCAAGATCATACCACTGCACTCCAGCCTGGTGACAGAGCAAGACTTTATCTCTAAAAAAGACAACCAGAACAGAGAGGGAAGATGCTACTGCATCTCCCAGGAAGCAGTGTCTCAGGCAAGTCAGCCAACCTCTCTGGGCCAGAGTGCTGTGTCCAAGGTGCCCAGGGCAGAGCATGCCTGAAGCACTTCAGAGAAGTGGGCTGTGCAGGCCGCCAGGTCAGGGCTGCAGAGAAAAGAGCCAGTGCTCTCAACGGGGGCACTTTTACCCCCCAGGGGACATGTGGTAACCTCTAGAGACATTTGTGGTGGTCTCATCTGAAGGGGTGCTGGTGGCATTTAGTAGGTGGAAGCCAGGGATGTCGCTAAACATACTACAATACCCAGGACAGCCCCGTCCCCAACAGAGGATTCTGCAGCTCCAAAGCATCACCAGTGCTGAGACCCTGAGCTCAAGGAGCAGGCTCAGACCTGCACTCTCTGTGATGTGGGATTTGCGGAGAGTTGTGTACCTCCTCATTTGAAAGATGGGGATAATGAACCTGTGCCATGCCGGGCGTGGTGGCTCATGCCTGTAATCCCAGCACTTTGGGAGGCCAAGGCGGATGGATCACCTGAGGCTGGGAGTTCGAGATCAGCCTGACTAACATAGTGAAACCCTGTCTCTACTAAAAATACAAAAATTAGCCGGGTGTGGTGGCACACACCTGTAATCCTAGCTACTTGGGAGGCTGAGGCCAGAGAATCACTTGAACCCAAGAGGCTGAGGTTGCAGTGAGCCAAGATAGCACTGCTGCACTCCAGCCTAAACAGCAGAGTGAGACACTATCTCAAAAAACAAACAAACAATTACCTGTGCTGCTCATCATACAGCTTTATGAGGCCCCTCCCCCAATACACAGGAACACTTAACTTTGTAAAGGGCTCTTTCTTGAGCTTTTCTTAGTTTGAAACCTGCACGTGACTAAAGCATCTAGCATGGTGACTAGCAGACAGGTGCTCAATAAATATGAAAAAGAGAAAGGCAACACAGTCATTACAAAAAACTTTGGCCAGTTTCTTCCCTATCTCTGGGTCTCATTTTTTGCCTAGCCTTTCCATAAAGTTCTACAGAGGCAGAGGGTAGTGATGTCAATGCAGGCTGTCTTGAAAGCCCTCGAGGGATCAGGGATAGCATTAACCATACTCTAAGGGCAGGTAGCTAAGGACATGGGAAGTTTTCCCAAATCTCAAGGGGCAGCCTCCCAACCCCATCCGGGGGTCCTGTGCTTCCCGCCCTGATGGGGCAGAAGCAATCGTGGCAGCCACCCCGGGGCTCAGCTCATTGGGAGGTGAGGCTTCCCAAGGAGCTGTACCAGCTGTGAACACTTACCCTACAGAAGCTGATTCAGAAAGTGAGATAGCAGCTTGGTGGTGGTGTGGGGTGGAGGGCAGCAAAGCCAGACCCCAGCGTTGAGACTGCTGCCATATCCTGTTCCTCCTACAGCCCTTCCAACGTAACCAGCCTCGTGGAAGCTGCTGTGCAGGGAGCAAGGGCATGATCCACCCTTGAACTTGCCATCCAACTGGGAGGGCCAGGTGTACCCTTGAGATCTGATGAGCAAGAGACGACTTCACAAAGTATGTGCGCATGCTGGAACAGAGGGCAGGCATACTCACAGCTGAGAAGCCAGGAGGCAGAACAGAGTGGGCCGGTGCCTGGGCAGACAGGCAAACATGAAGAGCAGCGTTTTGTGAGTTCAAGATCTTTGCAATCTCTGAACTACAGCTTTGGTCTTAAGCCTTTTGGAGCGGGTGGGGCCAGACACCATCTTGCCCACACTGCTATAAGGATGAAGACACAGGCCGGTGGGCAGAGGTGCCCTGCCTGGGCAGTCCTGCCCTGTGGCCGGCCCTCTTCCCACTAGGCTAACTTGCTTCCTCTCCAACATATGGTCTCCCATCATCTCTACCCCATCTTGGCACATAGAGAAACTGACGCAGAAAGGAAGGCCTGGCTTAAGGCTGCGGTGACTTGGAGATTCCAAGTAGGTATCCTCCCAGATTAGATGTCAGGGCAGGCGAGGGACCTGGGTGTGCTTTGGGTCTAGAGGAGGTAAAGGGTCAAAGCAGGGCCTGCTCTTCTGGTAGGGGAGGCATAAGATGCCTTTGGCTGATTTGCTTGGAGGCCAGTCCCTTCCCCAGGCTGGCTTCCTCAACCTGAGGCGCCCACCCTCCACACCAGAGGGTCGTCTCCCTGCCCCATTGCAATTTACACATCTCATGTCCTGTACCTTCAAAGTTTCTGCTTCAAGCTGTAACAGCCCCATCCCCGCCTCCCCCCTCTCTCCCTTCCCTCCCCTCTAGAACGAACTTGGGCCACACTTCCTGGCCTCCGTGCCTAAGGAAGCACTTCCCAGAAGCGTTAAAGCTCAGGGAGGTGGGCCAGAGTCCCTTCTCACATACCCTAGAAGCCAGCCTAGGGACTGACAGAGGAGACCCTGCGGACAGGCTCACCCTTCCTTTCCCTTTTCCTCCCCACTGCCAGAGACTGTGTTTCCTCAATGGCTACCACATGTGGTCCCCACTTCGTGCTTCCTCAGCAATGCCTGGCTCCTGCAGCCCAGCCAGAGCGGCCCCTTTCCTTGCTCTCCCGTCAGCTGCCTTGCAGACATCTCTACCCCTCTCCCGGGTGCTGGTAGTGTCCTAGGGTGTTTTAGAAGGAAAGAAAGAGGATGAGTTTGCTTCAGAGGTCAGAGGACAAGAAAGCCTGCTGCCTGGCCTTTTCACAGTGCTTGGATCCCCCTTCGCCCTGCCTGCAGGGCTAGCTCACAGTCTGCAGTTTGGCAATTTCTCCCAGGTCTGTTCACAAACTCTCCTCTGCCCTTTCTAGTCACCCAAGTGGGGACAGCAGGGTGGAATTGCTTACTGGGTCTCCCGGCCCAGCACCATGGCAATTAGGCTGACTTGCTCTGGTGAGGCACAGGCTCCTAAAAATAGCCTGACTCTCGCAGGAGGCGAAGGCCAGTCTTTGGCTGAAGTGTAACCTGGGAGGCCCTGGCTGGTGAAGGGGTCTGAGGACGCTGTTAGGGTTGGGAGAGAAAAGACAAATGCTCCTATCCTCAGGGCCCAGCCTCCTACACACCCAACCCCCCTCTTGGCCAAGACCCCTCCCTGCCGTGGGCTGTAAACCAAAGCTTACTGAGGGAAGGAGCAGTCCCAGGTCAAGGCACTGTAAGGACCTCCATATAGGCCCACAGCGGGCAGCAGCCGAGGAGGTCTGCACCACTCACGCTGAGGCCGCCAGGACGGCACCGGGAGGGGAGAGAGACCTAAGCAGCATCAAATCCTGCCACTGATTGGGGTTGGCCGCACTTCCCCTCGCTCAATTCAGTCCCGGCAGTGCTGCCTGCACCTGACACCTGGAGTTCAGAGGCTACAGCGAGACTGGAACTCGGATCCGGGGCTCAGAGCCCTGCCCTCTCCCTTTTATTCCAACAATCTCCTGGAGCGGGGAACCAGAAGTACCAGGAAGCCTGGGAAGGACAGGCCACTGCGGTTGCCCCAGACACCCCAGCCCATTAAGGTTTAAAGAATGGCCCTCACCCCATCTCGCAAGCAGCAGAGGGGACAGGGCACAAAGGAGGGTGGACATTGGTTAAGCTTCTACTTCATGTAAACAAGAAGACCGTGGCACTGACCCCCGCCCAGCCACCGACAGTCTGGTGTGTGACTGAGATGCTTCGGACCCTCTCATGTGGGATCCAGGCTCCCTGAGGCCAGGACGGAGGCTGCAGGGCAGGAGGCCAGTTGGAGTCTGATGTGCAAACTGGTGCAGTGTGTGACCCGCGCTCTCCACAGCACAGGGCAGGGCAGGCGGGCATCCACACGTCCTGCCCACCCCCATCCCGCAGCTCAGGAAATCACGCACTTGTTGGGCTTGGCAGAACTGGGACTTGTTTTACCTGCGGAGGCAAGGGACAGAGGTGGGGAAGGATGTGAGTCAAACGCATGGTGGATTCAACTTCAGCCCCTACCCTGTGTGCTGTCCACACCTGCAGCTGAGGGGCTGGGGTCACTGTCTCCCTCCCAAGCTGCTGATTGGGAAACCAGGTCACTAGGGCACCCAGGAAAGCAGGAGAGATCCTGCCTGTCCCAGCGGCATGGCAGAAGCCCCACTGGATGAGGCATCAAGGTGACCGTCATCTCCTGACCAGAAGGGTGGGGGAAGAACCCAGACTCCAGAACCAACGATGACAACCATCAACTCCAAAGTCTTGGCTGCTCTGTCTATAGACTAGCCATTCTTTGTTTCTTTACTTTTCTAATAAACTTGCTTTCTGACACACACACACACCCCTCACCTGGTAGCCACTCATGACCAGCTAACACATGCAGCTCCTCAGCCTGCAAAGCAAGACCACAGCCCTTCTCTCCGGTTCCCATCTCAGGCCCTCCATTCTACCGCTGAGGTGCCCACGGCTCCCAGAGCCAGCCGGTGGCAGCACTGGAACCTGGTCTTCCCAGCTCAGTTCCAGCTCCTTCTGCCTCAGGCCGCCTAGGCTGGAAGAAGGAAAGCCGGCGCCTTGGGAAAGGCTGGTGCTGGCCAAGAGCGGCCACCGTGGGGTGGATCACACTGCTCAGGGGGCAGCTTTGAGGGAAGGATGGAGAGGAACATTCTGGCTGCAGGGAGGGAAGGGGAGAGAAAGCTGCCCCCCCACCCCCGAAGCCAGAGAAGCTGATTTCTCCTCTTTCCCAGGCCTCTACCCATCCTTCCCACTTCCTTTACAGTCCCGAGAGGAGGCCTGCTGTTCCTTCGGCTGCATTCCTGCTCTCTGACCTCTGGAGCATGGAGGCAGGCCTGACACCTGCGGGCCTGTGAGGTATGGGCGCTACCTCTCCCTAGTTGGAAGCCACTCGTGTTATTTCCTGCCAGTTCCCCTCCACACAGCAAGGGCTGCTTCCCCGGTGCTCACACAACCTTCCAGCATCACTTCAGCTGCGAATTTAATTGAGGCTTCATCTGCCTCCTCTCCTGGGCCAGGAGCAGGACACACTGAACAGAACCCAACCTGGAGCCCCTGCCCCTGCCACGCCCCATGGGCCACTGCTCCTGCTGACTGTGCTGTGACCCGCGGCCTCGGGCCTTGTCCATCCAGGCAGAGCTCTTCGGGACTGACCATGAATCCAGCTGCGCCCTCATTACAGGTGTTCCCCTACCCTTGGGCAGGAGGCTGCACCCCAGGGGCTCCATGGCCAAGGCGCTGGGGGTCACCTTCCGCAGTGGTGCCAAGCATGTCTGGGGTGGCTCTGCTGGGGGATGAAAGGCGGCCATCCTAGGGTCACTCACTGCTGCAATGGACACATCTGTCCCCATGTACCCTCCTCAGCTGGTCTGATGTGCATGGCCCACTAAGCAGATGTTACTTCCTCCCAGAGGCAGCAGCATTTTGGAGGCAGGTAAGCAGATCAACCTCCGGATCATTAAACAGGGGAGGCGGTGTAGTTGGGGGTGCAGTGGAGGGGGTGAGGGGAGCCGCTTCCCAAGCCTGCACACTGCCCAGCTGGCTGCCTCCAGAAGTCTGGGCAAGGCAGGGGCAGGGGCAGGGCCCGTCTTCACCAGCACCGTGCTCCCCACTTTTTTGTAAGGAGGGGTGGTGAAAACTGGAGAGAGCAGGCTTTCAGAATTCATTTCCTTGCCCCAGACAGGACAGAGAAATTTGAGGACAAATTCTATGTCCCCTGTCATTCCCACAGTGCTCAGGTACTGGGAGCCGACCATGTGCGGGGAGTCAGCCCTGCTCAGGTGAACGGGGAAGGTGCATCAACAGCCAACATAGCCCTTTTTACAAAGGATGTGTGGCCCGGGTGGGGTGGCCCGAAGAAGGCTAATGAGAGAGTCAAGCTTCAGAGGTAACCTCAAGGTGGAGCTGAAAACAGGGGTGCAGGGTGGGAGGAAGGGTCGCTTAGTGAAGTGGAGCCGTGTGACGTAGCGTGGGGTGTGGGGGGACAGCCTGGGGCACTCAGGACCTGAAGTCAGTCTGCTTCGCTGGCAGGTGAGGTGGTGTGAGAGGGCGAGGCAGAGGTCACCCCCACGGAAGCCATGACAAGGACGACGGGCTCCATCTTCTCCAGGCTCCGGGGCTTCACATTCCTGTATCTGGAAGAGTCTTCCCTCTGAGGTCCAGTGCCCTTGCCTTCCATTCCAGTCTTGCTCAGATGCTCCCTGGTTAGAGAGGCCTTTCCTGGCACCCTTTACAGAGGGGTCATCCTCCTCCCATCCTGGTCTCTCCCCAGGTTAACATGCTCCATAAAAGCAGGGGCCATGTTCATTCTGTTCATGGCTGTGCCAGGAACTGAGAGCAGGGCCTGGCACAGAGCAGATATGCCTAGATACATATTTATTGAATGAAATGAATGAGACGGCCATGGCGAGCTACTTAGGGGTTTGACGCTCTCCTACTAATAACAGTCATCACAGCAGCAGATGCAGCAAGAGCAGGAGCGAGATCAGAGACCTGCGGCCCTAGGGGATGACACAGGAGAACAAGTCCCCAGTCCAGGAGCCCGGCAGCCACAGCTCTACAGAGCCAGACCACACTGCCAGCCGGGGGCCACCCACACATAAATCCAGGGACCCCAGGAGAGTTCTGGAAAGGGACTGTCACTGCAGGTCACCTCAGAGAAACCGGGAAGCAAAGCACAGGCCCAGGGGCTTTGGGGCAGGAAAGGACCCCGAGGCACTCTGGGAAGCAAGCTGTCACTCTCATCTTCCTCCCCGCCCCTATGACACCAGGGGAAAGGGTCTGTCCTCTATTCAGGGCTCTGGCTCTTCCAAACAGTCTTTAAAGATTCAGGGAAACGGCGCCAATCCTAGCCTTCTGGGACAGCCATGGTATCTGCAGAAGGCTGGGAGGCAGGAGACCACGCTGTCCTTTCCTGCCTGGGCAGCATGGGCACAGGGCCTGGCCTCTCTGAACCTCAGGGGTCTCGCTGTGAGATGCTGTCAGCAGGCAGGATGGCAGCGAGGAGGATGCCAGTTCCGTGTGACAGCGTATGGCACCGTGTCTCTCACCACTTTCTTCAAAAGCATTGGGCATTTCCCAGTCATCTCCCTGGGGGAACTGGGTGGGGTCTCAGGCACAGCACGGGGACCTCCTCCCCTAGGCTGGCAGTGCCCCGAGGGCAGGGCCTCATTTGTGCTTCCTCAATCGCTTGGAGTCTGCTGGTCTGAGGACCCTCTACAATGGGGAGCTACACTGGAAAAGGAGGGCCCTAGTTTAAAATGCAGATTCCTAAGCCCTGTCCAGCAGTACAGACTGTTTGTTGCATTAAAAATATTATTATTATTATTTTGAGACAGAGTCTCGCTCTGCTGCCCAGGCTGGAGTGCAGTGGTGTATCTCAGCTCACTGCAACCTCCACCTCCTGGGTTCAAGCGATTCTTCTGCCTCAGACTCCCAAGTAGCTGGGATTACGGGTGCCTGCCACCATACCCAGCTAATTTTTGTATTTTTAGTAGAGATGGGGTTTCCATGTTGCCCAGGCTAGTCTCGAATTCTTGACCTCAGGTGATCCACCCTCCTTGACCTCCCAAAGTGTATTTGTTGCATTTTAAAATTCGTATTTACTCTTATTTTTTTGAGACAGTGTCTCTCTGTTGTCCAGACTGGAGTGCAGGGGCACAACAGCTAACTCCAGCCTCGAACTCCTGGGCTTGAGTGATGCTCCTGCCTCAGCCTCCCAAGTGGCTGGGGCTATGGGCAAATGGCACTACCCCCAACTATGTATTTATTTTTTGAGACAGGGTCTTGCTATGTTGCTCAGGCTGGTCTAGAACTGGGCTCAAATGATCTTCTCACCTCGGCCTCCCAAAGCACTGGGATTATAGGCATGAACCACCGCGACTGGCCTTGTTGCATTTTTAACAAGGCTCTCCACTGAGGCTGCCCTGTGCGGTTGGGGGTCCCTGCCCCAGGGAGCCTGTGCAGAGCTCCTGGAGGGCACAGAAGCTCCAGAATAAGGGCTGAGTGCTCCCAGCACAAGGCGAGGGCTGAGGGAAGCAGTACGAGAGGTGCCTAGCTTCCGCCACTAGAGGGCGCCATGAGCCTTGCAACAGCCGGGCACCCCAGCTCCTGCTGGATCCCCAGCCCTGAAGGAGGAAGCAACTTCCCTAAGGTTCTCCCAAGGGCCACACCTGGGTTTGCAAAAATTTGCATGCTGTTTGACAACTATATACTCCTTATCAAGCAATTTTACAGGCTGTCGGCTCAGAGCTTTTTCTATTTTTTCTCTTATGACAGAAACTGTCATCAACCCAGGTTCTCCCTTGACAAGAGGGCACCAGAGACGGAAAGAACAGAGGCAGAATCTGAACTCCAGGGGACCTCAGAAACCCTCCCGGGAGCACCCCCTCCTCCTCTAGATGAGGACACAGCCCCCCAGGCAGGGGACGGATGTGTCCTGGGTACAGGGAGCAGTGTGTCCGGAGCTGAGAGCCATGTGGAGGATGCTCTGGGAGGTTCTGAATGTTCACCAGGGGAAGGAGACTTCTTCCCTGGGTGAGGGCCTGAAGGCAGGAGCTCAGGTTCTCAGTGATTCCCACTGTGGGAGCCCCACGCTGTCAGGGGCCCACCTTCTCACACATGCAGTCCTGGTGGCTTAGCTGCTGCTGCCGGAGGGGAGGCACTGAAGCAGCCCTACTTGGCCATGATGTGGGAGGCTGAAGGCCATGAAAAAGGGCCTCTCAGGAGAGGAGCTCCCGGCTGGGCATGGTGGCTTGTGCCTATAATCCCAGCGCTTTGGGATGCCAAGGTGGGAGGATCACTTGAAGCAAGGAGACCAGCCTGGGCAACAGCCTGTCTATACAATTTTTTTTTTTTTGAGACATTACTCTATCACCCAGGCTGGAGGGCAGTGATGCGATCTTGGTTCACTGCAACCTCTGCCTTCGGGGTTCAAGTAATTCTCTTTTTTTTTTTTTTTTTGAGACGGAGTTTCACTCATGTTACCCAGGCTGGAGTACAATGGCGCGATCTCGGCTCACCGCAACCTCCGTCTCCTGGGTTCAGGCAATTCTCCTGCCTCAGCCTCCTGAGTAGCTGGGATTACAGGCACGCGCCACCATGCCCAGCTAATTTTTTGTATTTTTAGTAGAGACGGGGTTTCACCATGTTGACCAGGATGGTCTTGATCTCTTGACCTCGTGATCCACCCGCCTCGGCCTCCCAAAGTGCTGGGATTACAGGCTTGAGCCACCGCGCCCGGCCCCATCAAGTAATTCTCTTGCGTCAGCCTCCTGAGTAGCTGGGACTACAGGCACACGCCCCCACACCTGGCTCATTTTGTATTTTTTTTTTTTAGTAGAGACAGGGTTTCACTGCTTTGTCCAGGCTGGTTGTGAATTCCTAAGCTCAGTCAATCCACCTGCCTTGGCCTCCCAAGGTGCTGGGATTACAGGTGTGAGCCACCGCACCCAGCCTATACAAACACATTTAAAAATTAGCCAGGCATGGTGGCACACACCTGTGGCCCCAGCTACTCAGGAGGCTGAGGTGGGAGAATCACTTGAACCCGGGAGGTTGAGGTGAGCTGTGATTGCACCACTGCAGTCCAGTGAGACATTGTCTCGAAAACAAACAAAAATGACCAAAGGCAGGAGAACTCCTGTGTCTCCCCCAGACCTCTGGAGGGGGAAGGTCCTGTCAGGGAGCATGAATTTCAGGGCTGCAGGTCCTAAGTGCCCCCACAAGTGAGCAGAGGCCTTGCCGGAGGAGGCCGCTCTGTGTTCATCTAAAGGACGGACGAGGAACAGGGTGATGGCTCTGGGCATCCCCGGACCTTCCCGGCTGCCCCTGCCCTTGCCCTCTCTCTCTCTGTCCCAGCATCAGGTGCCCTGGAGCGGAGGTTCCTGAGGGCAACGTTGGTGTCTGCAAGGCTGGCTACTGAGCACCGTAGGCAGACACCAGAGAGCCACAGCAGGGGCAGGGAGACCAACGGGGAGGGACGTGCAGAAGGTGGGTGGGAAGGGACAAGACAAAGGGCTTTGTGTTTCCATGGAAACCGTACCTCAGGGCGGGCGAGGGGCTGAAGGAGGAGGAAGCTTCCACTCCACTTCAGTCAGGACTTGGGAAACAGCGCTTGTGGCTGCTGGGCTCACCCCCTCCTCCCTCTCCCTTCCCTGCCAGGTGTTCACCATGGGAACCCTTCCTCCAAACCAGAGGTACAGAGCAGCAGCAGCTGCTGGTGTTAGGGGAGCCAGTGAGTCCAGGAGGAACGGGGCCGGGGCTGGCCACCCCTCCCCTGACAGAAAATGGCCGTGGCCAGGCCTGGTCTTGAATCCTGGCCCTACTACCACTCCCCATGGCCTGGGACCCCTTCAGTCACCTCTGAGCCACCTGCCACCTCTGTACTTGAAGGGTGGCTGTGGGGGCAGGAGGGGAGAGACAGCGCCTGTGCAAGACCTGGCAGACCAGCAGCTCAGTCAATGTCCCCAGGCCAAATGGAGGGAACGCCCTGGCGCTCCCACTGTACCCACAGCCACAGAGACGCCCAGGCCTGTTCAAACTCCGAGAAGCAAAGTTAGCCAACATTTCCTGAGCATGGACTGTGTGTATCAAGCTTCTAAGGCACTGCTGGGGAATCAGCAGAAGGGATGCCACTTGCGCTCCCTGCTCTCATGCTACCACAATCTTGTCAAAGCTGGGGTGCAGGGACACATGTGTCCTGGACGTCCTCGGGCTGTCCAGGACCAGACCCAGGCCCTGTCAAAGCCCACCTGGCCAGCCAGAGCCCGGTTCTCATCCCTGGGCTCCACAGTGATGGAGGAAGAAATCCCATCACAGAAACTCCTCCAAGTCGGGGACACAGAGATGAGAAAGGCACCACCACCAGCTGCCTGAAAGGCCACCCCAGAGACTGCTGCGGCGAGAGGCATAAAGGCCAGTGCCTCTTGGGGATCCCAGAGAGACGCCCAGGAAGACGCTGCCATGGAACAATCCCACCCAGGAACAAGCAGCCAGGCAGACAGCACTCAGCAGAGGGACACATGGTGAAACCAAGTCAGACTGCTCATCACAGAGACAGGAAAGTGGGTCAGGGCACTGGTGGGGCACAGGGGAGGGCAGGGTGTATCTGACTAGGTGAGATCCCGACAACAGGTGATGTGGCAAGGAAGAAGGTTTGCTAGAAGGAGCCCTGAGCTCAGAGCTAGGGTTGAGCCGCGGCCGTGCACCCCCTGTGCAGTGCCTCCGCTTCTTCATTTACAAAGGAGAAACTTGCTCAGCAGATATTTGTTGGGTTCCCGTGAGGGTCGATCTGAGTGCCTTCTAGCAGTAGTACTAGACGCTCTCAGACCACTCCATGGCAAGTCTGGAATCCTTCTCTTCTTTCAGAGAAGAGGAAAGTGAAACTCAGAGCTGCAGGACTTGCCCAAGGCCACCACCAGGCAGCCAAAGGCCAGAGCCAGAATGGGAACCGAGGGCCCTGGAACCCCAGAGCTCCTGCCCTCTGCGTGCCCGCAGATGCAATCTGCTCCTCTGCAGACACCAGGCACTCCTCCTGGCTAAGTGCTGACGTGGGGCCAGGGCCAGAGGCCTGGGGAGGCACCGGGGCAGAGGGAAGAGGGCTCACCTGAGACCTCGGCACTGGAGTCCTCGTTGGGCTTCTTCCCCATCAGAAACTCCACTTCGGAGAAGGTCTCGGTGGAGGGGGAGCTGGCCACGCCATTGGGCACCGTGGGCCTCTTGGACCAGCGGCTCAACAACTTGCTGCTAAGGCGCTTGCGCTCCCGGGCAGGGGCGGCCTCTGCCTGGGCCGCTTCTCCTGTGCCATTTCGGCTGGGCGCCTCATGGGATGTGGGCTTTAGGTCTATGTGTATGCAAGAGACCATCCTGCCGTCCTTCCGGCTCAGCTCCCCCGAGGGGATGGGCTCCACAGGGGGCAGCACCTGCTCCACCGTAGCCAGGTCTCTCAGGAAGCTCTCCAGACGCCGGGCTGACTCGCCGCCGCTGCCCTCCTCCTGCCCCTCCTGGTTGCCGCCGGCCTCCCGCTGTTGCCGAGCAGCCCAGCGCATCATCTCCCCGGGCGGGTGACGGCTGCCTGCCACCAAGGCATACTTGGGGTTGATGAGCTTGCGAGCCACAGTGGAGGAGTAGTGGTGGCCTGCCAGGCCCAGCTGCCGATGCAAGTCCACCTCGTCGGAGATGGCGTACAGCTCCCGGAACTCTGTGTCAAAGGGCTCCACGTTCTGCCCCATCAGGAGGAGGAGGAGGTTCCTGTCCACGTAGGAGGAACTCCAGGTGAACCTGGGAACGTGGGGACAGAGAAGCAAGTCATGTGTGCACAGGCCTCTCTCTTGCCCTGCCCCCACCCCCACCTGCCCCTCTGCTGTGGCTGGATCCTTGCTGCAGGTGGAAGGTTCCTCGTAGCTCACGCGCTGGCCTGACCTCCCTCCACCCACCCGTGGCCTCCCTTTCCCTAGCTCTGGGCCTCAAATGAATCGAGCAGGCAGCTGGGTGCAGGGAAGGAGCATGGGAAGTCAGGCCTGGATTCCAACCTGGTTTATATGCTTCTGTGCCTTGTAAACTGGGGCTCCCAGCACATATGTTCACAGGGTTGTTGCGAGGCTCAAATGAAGCAACTCATATAAAACATTTAGCTCAGTCCCTGGCACAAACACACATTTGGAAAATAGCAACTGCAGCTGCCACTATTATGAATATTATTCTACTCTGTATTGGTTCTTCTCTGGATTTTTTAAGCACTTAGTGTCTGCAGAAACCCACACTCTGACCATGTAACAGGACTTACGCCGCTATTCGCTGTTTCGTGTGCTCAGGGCTCTCTTCTCCTCACCTTTATTTTAATTTATTTGGAGGGCAGAGATTATACACATACATTCTCTTGTGTTCTTGGTAAATTATTTTTAAATCAAAATTCTGAGGCTGGGTGCAGTGGCTCACACCTGTAATCCCAACATTTTGAGAGGCTGAGGCAGGTGGATCACTTGAGGTCAGAAGTTCAGGACCACCCTGACCAACATGGTAAAACCTTGTCTCTATTAAAAATACAAAAACAATTAGCTGGGCGTGATGGCACATGCATGTAATCCCAGCTACTCAGGAGGCTGAGACAGGAGAATCGCTTGAACCCGGGAAACGGAGGTTGCAGTGAGCTGAGATTGCGCCACTGTACTCCAGCCTGGACGACAGAGCGAAACTCTGTCTCAAAAAAAAAAAAAAAAATTTCCTGAGGTCAGGAGATCGAGACCAACCTGGCTAACATGGTGAAACCCCATCTCTACTAAAAATACAAAAATCAGCTGGGCATGGTGGCGGGCACCTGTAATCCTAGCTACTTAGGAGGCTGAGGCAAGAGAATTGCTTGAACCCGGGAGGCAGAGGTTACAGTGAGCTGAGATCATGCAAGTGCACTCCAGCCTGGGCGACAGAATGAGACTCCATCTCAAAAAAAAAAAAAAACCTGGCAACCTTCCCTGTACGCCATACCTTCCCATTTCTTTCCAGATCTGGTGCGCCCTACACATCCTACTTCCTGCTCGTCTTACCCAACAACTAGCCTCAAAATGCAACTGGCTGCAAATGGACCATGAAAGCAGGCACTGCTTAATGCCTAGGAAGAGTTGACCCTCCTTCTAGAATAATTCATGAACCAGGATGTTTGTGGGAAGGGACTGGGCAGAAAGCTGTCCTTTGCCATTGTGTCAGATGACACCTACTACAACTCATGATGACGGAGGCTCCAGTCTGGCATCTTCCTGAACACCTACCTGGAATCAAGGCCTCCTGGGCCCTTCTCTGACTTGGCCCAACTCACCTGTAAGATCCAGTGGCCACTTTGTCACCATCCACCATCAGGAACCTTGATGACAGGGTCCCCTTGATCCTCCCCATGGGCATGTAGAAGCCGACGCCAGTCACGGAGCGGACACGGATGTTCTGTTGGGAAGAGTAGAAGGCCCTGTCACCGGCGTTGGGCTGGCCTCTGTGCCAGGTCCTTGCTTCTGCAGGGGAAGAGCCCTTTGTCTATGGACCCTGCCTGCAGGCTCCTGTCTTCACAAGACGCTCTGCTTCCTACAGCCTAACAGAACCCTCTTTGGTGAGCAGGAAGAAGTCCCCAGATCTTGCTTTAGGCGTTGACAAGCCCAGGGTGGTTCCTGCCTGTTCTTAAAAATCCCCAGAAGAGAACCACAGCCCTCACTTTGAAGCCAGTAATTCTGCAGGCTGAGCACCCCAGGACCAGGCCAGAGCTGCCTCCCTCAGCTGCCCAGGGATAAAACTGAAGCTGGGCATATGATTCAGTAGCAAACAGTAAAGCCAAGGTTAAAAGCTTCACTTTTGACACAAGGAAACGGGTTGAGATCTTGAAGTCCGCCTGAGCCCCCAACCAGGGAAGAGGCAGGGGGAGCCATGGGAAGGGGCAGAGGGAGTCTCTGTCTCATCTCCTGCCCACTTCTCGCCCCACGGATGGAACTTACCCGAATCCGGAAGTCGGTGAGCTGCAGGCCCTGACACATCTCCAGGAAATACTTCACTCCCGCCTCGTCCAGGATGACGTACACTGGGACCCGGCGCTTACAGGCAACATCCACAATGTCTTGGAAGATATCACCATCCGTGAAGAGGTCCATGACCACAGCAATGACCTGAGTGGAGAAGGGCACTGGTGAGGCATGTGGTGATGACATGCCCACAGAGGCACGCCCTGCACAGATGGGACCACCTCACCCTGGAGTCACCGGTGGCCAAGAGTCAAAAACTCCACCTGTATCATTCCTGGGGCTCCATGTCCACCTACCTTTGAGCACATCTGACCCCTGGAGATGGGCCTGGGGGTGAAGGCTGTGTGCTTGTGCTTCATCCTGGACAAATCCCCACCTCCCTACCCTGGGGGTCTTCACTTAAGCAGCTCTTAAGAAGCCATATCAGGGCTGGGTGAGGTGGCTCACACCTGTAATCCCAGCACCTTGGGAAGCCAAGACAGGTGGATCACCTGAGGTCAGAAGTTTGAGACCAGCCTAGCCAACATGGTGAAACTCTTTATTAAAAATACAAAAAATGGGCTGGGTACAGTGGCGGGTGCCTGTAATCTCAGCTACTCAGGAGGCTAAGATAGGAGGATTGCCTGAACCCAGGAGGTGGAGGCTGCAGTGAGCTGAGATCCTGCCATTGCACTCCAGCCTGGGCAACAAGAGTGAAAAAAAAAAAGGATTAGCTGGGCGTGGTGGTGGGCACCTATAATCCCAGTTACTCGGGAGGCTAAGGCAGGAGAATCGCTTGAACCCGGGAGGTGGAGGTTGCTGTGAGCTGAGATAGTGCCACTGCACTCCAGTCTGGGTGATAGAGCGAGACTCTGTCTCAGAAAAAAAAAAAAAAAAAAACCTATAAAAATTAAAATATAAAGAAGTTATATCAAGCGAGATATAGGGGGCTGAGGAAAGTTGCTCCTGACACCCTAGATAACCAGGCAGGCACAAGGAGATGCCATTGCTGAGATGCCAGGGGTAGGCTCACCTCTGCCAGCCACAGATCTGCTCAAACATCACTTTCTCAGCAGGCCTGGATGCTCCGATGGCCTTGCAGCTGTACAGAGCTCAACACTTCCCCAGACACAGATCTGGGCAGAGCTCCAGCTGGCTTGGATTCCCTTAGCCTTCAGGTATCCATCTCATTCCACCCCATCCTCAAATCTAGGTCACTGCTCAGGACCCTGCATTTACAAAAATCATTCCCGATCATCCACCCTGGAAGGCAAGGCTTATGCAGCCTGAGGCAGCTCCATCTTTCCAACCGCAGCCACTTCCAGCTTCCTACACAAACCATGCTCCACACTCCAGCTGAAGGCTTTCTTTTCTCTTTTTTTTTTCTTTTTTTGAGATGGAGTTTCCTTCTTGTTGCCTGGGTTGGAATGCAAATGGGGCAATCTCAGCTCACTGCAACCTCCGCGTCCCAGGTTCAAGCAGTTCTCCTGCCTCAACCTCTGAAGCAGCTGGAATTACAGGCATGCACCACCATACCCAGCTAATTTTTGTGTTTTTTAGTAGAGATGGTGTTTCTCCATGTTGGTCAGGCTGGTCTTGAACTCCCAACCTCAAGTGATCTGCCCACCTCAGCCTCCCAAAGGCTTTCTTATGGTCTCGAACACTGTGCAGTGATGCCAAGGAAAGGGCCTCGGTTTTGGGGGCAAGTCACTTAACCTTAATGAGACCCTGTTTCCTCATCTGCCAAGTGAGGATACCCTGTATTTTACACTTTTGCCCTGAGGATTAGGGATAACTTTGTAAAGCAGCAAACATCACGTCTGCTATTGTAGTAAGTCCTCATTAAATGGTAACTGCTATACAGTCCAGGAAGTCAGCTTGCCTTAGTAACTGAAAGCACAGACTCTAAAGTCAGGCAGACCAGGCTGGTATCCCCATGCTATGGCCAGCCCAGGCTTCTCTGGCCACAAAATGGAGCTAATAGTTGTACCGATCTCAAAGCTGGCTCTAGGACTTAGCGAGCTGCTCCATGAAAGTGCTGAGCGCAGGGCTGGGCGAGGTGGCTCACGCCTGCAATCCCAGCACTTTGAGAGGCCGAGGCAAGTGGATCACCTGAGCTCAGGAGTTTGAGACTAGCTTGGCCAACATCGTGAAACCCTATCTCTACTAAAAATACAAAACTTAGGGCCGGGCGCGGTGGCTCACCCCTGTAATCCCAGCACTTTGCAAAGCTGAGGCGGTGGATCACTTCAGGTCAGGAACTCGAGACCAGCCTGGGCAACATACGCCAGATTCCTGCCAATAAACTTTAAAAAAAAAAAAAAATACAAAACTTAGCTGGGAGTGGTGGTGGGCGCCTGTAATCCCAGCTACTCGGGAGGCTGGGGCAAGAGGATCGCTTGAACCCAGGAGGCAGAGGTTGCAGTGAGCCGAGATCACGCCATTGCACTCCAGCCTGGGAGACAAGAGCAAGACTCTGTGTCAAAAAAAAAAAAAAAAAAAAAAAAAAGTGCCGAGCGCCGAGTGCAGCGCCTGGCACCAGGCACACTCAATAAGCCTGTCACAGTCGTGTCACCACCTTCACACATGTGCTCTGCCATCACCCCGACTATAAAGACTCCTGTGCCCTGCCCCACACAATACCATTTAAAGCTCTTCGTAGCTCTTACATTTTGAGAAAGAAAGAAAACAAAAACCACTTCTATCTGAGGAATGAGAGACCCTGTAAATTACCAGGCCCAGAGAGGCATTTAAAATGTGATAGCAGCTGCAGTGGCTCATGCCTATAATCCCAGCACTTGGAAGGCCAAGGCAGGAAGGTCACTTGAGGTCAGGAGCTTGAGACCAGCCTGGCCAACATGGTAAAACTCTGTCTTTACTAAAAATACAAAAATTATCCAGGCGTGGTGGCATGTGCCTATAATTGCTTGAACCAGGGAGGCGGAGTTTGCAGTGAGCCGAGATTGAGCCACTGCACCCCAGCCTGGGGGACAAAGCGAGACTCCATCTCAAAAAATAAAATAAAATAAAATGTTATAGCAGTCATGCCTCACTCCCCCTCAAGCTAAATAATAATTATGATTCAGTAAGTGGCTTGAAGCCACTTGCTGTATGAAGTATGTAGACTGACACTAAGAAGGCATAAAATGCTACACACTTGATAGTTCAACAGGGTAGGCCGGGCACGGTGGCTTACACCTGTAATCCCCGCACTTTGGGAGGCTGAGGCAGGAGGATTGCTTGAGCTCAGGAGTTTCAGACCTGCCCGGGGAACATGGCAAAACCCTGTTTCTACAATACAAAAATTAGCCGGGCATAGTGGTGTGGGCCTGTAGTCCCAGCTATTCAGAGGCTGATGCAGGGGGATCGCTTGAGCCCATGAGGTCGAGGCTGCAGTGAGCCATGATAGCACCACTGCGCTATAGCCTAGGAAACAGAATGAGACCCTATCTCAAAAAAAAAAAAAAAAAAAAGAATGTATAGCCAATCACTGACAATGTTATTTCTGTAAACCAACGCAAATTCCTGACCAATGACTTTTGTCATCTCCCCCTCTCCTGATTTCATGCTTTTTTCTTTAAAAACTTGAGCCTCCCCAAGGAAACCTGGCAGTGTGTCCTGGGAGGCAGTCCTAAATCTAAATCTTGGCCCAAATAAACTCTCTATACTAATTTTGCCTCAGCGTCTTCCTTTGAGGCTGACATTGCGATAATCATTCACGCAGGGAGAATGAATGCTTCCTGAGCCCCACAGGCAGAGTGAGGACCTAAAGACAGATAAGCTGCAATGCTGATTTCAAGGGGTTAATCCAAGTGGAATAAGACATTTGCACAAAATAACTAAGACATGAGATAAATGAGATGAATGCCTTTAAGAACGTGACATGTGATGTGGTTTGGGGTGGGTGGATGAGTGGAGAGAAGAGATTACTTCCAGCCAGGGAGAACAAGAAAGACTTTACCAAGGAAGCTGAACTGTGAAGGATGGAAAGCCTTTGGCACTCCGAGAAAGGAGCGGGAGGAAAACCGAGCAGGGCGGTTGTCTGGGCTGCCTTGCAGGAGTGTGTCCTGCACACAGGCACTGGCTGAGGAGGGAGCTGTGCCTGCCCTGGGAAGGGTCACCTTTTTCTCATCTATGCGCAGGTGCCACATGGCCTAGCAGGGGCCTGCAAGGGGAGCGTTTCAGGGAAAGGGCACAGCACAAAAAAAGGTACTGTGCTGGTTAATATTATATGTTTGTTTGGCTGGGCAAACATTATTCTGGATGTTTCTATGAGGGTGTTTTTTTGGATTAAATTAATATTTGAATCACTGGACTTCGAGTAAAACAGATCACCCTCTACAATGTGGGTGCGTTTCATCCAATCCACTGAAGGCCTTCGTAGAACAAGGACTGACCTCCCCTGAGCAAGAATGAATTCTGCCAGCAGACTGCCTCTGGACTGGAACTGCAGCTCTTCCAACCTGACAGCCCATCCTGCAGACTCTGGTGTTGCATCTCTATTATCCCACCAGCCAATTTTTTTTTTTTTTTTTTTTTTTTGAGGCAGAGTTTTGCTCTCGTTGCCCAGGCTGGAATGCAATGGCATGATCTCAGCTCACCACAACCGTCGCCCCCCAAGTTCAAGCGATTCTCCTGCCTCAGCCTCCTGAGTAGCTGGGATTACAGGCATGTGCCACCATACCTAGCTAATTTTTTGTATTTTTAGTAGAGACGAAGTTTCTACCTGTTGGCTAGGCTAGTCTCGAACTCCCGACCTCAGGTGATATGCCTGCCTCGGTCTCTCAAAGTGCTGGGATTACAAGCATGAGCCACCAAGCCCGGCTGACCCAATTCTTTAAAATCAATCAATCTCTGTCTCTCTGTGGATGTCTCTCACACACAAACATACCCATCCAGTTGGTTCTGTTCCTCTGGAGAACACTGACTAATACGGGCACTGAGGATGGGAATGAACATGTACCAAACACTTTCAGTGCACCTAGGCTGTTTCCTGTGCTTTAGGTAAACTTTCTAATCTGATCCTCACAACTCTTCTAAGGAAGGGTTATTCCCACTTTGCAAGTGAGGAAGTAAACACATAGTGGGCAAAGTCATGTGTCCAAGGTTATAAAGCTACCATGTGGCATAGCCAGGAACTCAGTCCTAGGTGGCTCTAGGGTCTT